CCCCCGGAGCCCACAGGGACCCTACGGTGTGGGTGTCAGGACAGAACCCTGGGTCTGCTCGCCTGGACTCCAGTCCTGTTCCACCCGAGGAGCAGGCGGCCTCCGTCAGGGATTTTCCCTCTGTGCCTCCGCTTCCCCAGGGTGGCCGTGGGGATTAAATAAATTTACAAGACGTTAACCACAGTCACCACAGACTGTGGCAGCTACTGTTATGATTCAACTGTGATGCTCGAGTTCTCTCTTGTAAAAAAAAAAAAAGTTCAGTCTTCTTCTCTCTCTCTAAAATCAATCGTAAAAATCTGTTTCAATTATGCTTACATAAAAATGTCCTGCCTGCCTGCCTGCTGTTTGTTCCATAAAAACATTCTATAGAAAAATGTGTTCAACCTTGGAGCAATTCCGCCCTGGCCAGTGTGCTCAGTGGTTAGAGCACCGGCCCATGCAACCAAGGGTCGGGTTCCATCCCGGCCCCTCCCCAGCCCCACTGGGGCGTGTGCAGGAGGCAACCAATGGATGTGTCTCTCTGACATTGATGTTCTCTCTCTCTCTCTCTCTCCCCCTCCCTCCTTCCCAACCACTCTCCCTAAAAAAAAACCAATGGAGTCTGGCCGGTGAGGCTCAGTGGTAGAGCTCCGACCCAGGAATCAAGAGGTCTCCATTGATTCCCAGTCAGGTACATGCCCAGGTTGCGGGCTCGATCCCCAATAGGGGGCATGCAGAAGGCAGATTAAAAAAACAAATTTTTTTTTTTTTTTTTTAATTTAAAAATCACTGAGTTTGGCTCAGTGGATAGAGTGTTGGCCTAGAGTGTTGGCCTGTGGACTGCAGGGTCGTAGGTTCGACTCCCGTCAACGGCACAGGCCCGGGGTTAGGTCTGATCAAGCAATTGAATCGATGCCCCTCCCCCGGGACCTGGCTTTCCAGGCCATTTCACTGGGGACATTCCCTTTGCTGAGACCACATTTCACTTGTGGTGACCACATTCCATGACCTCCCCTCCGGGTCTGCACAGAGAAGTCTCCGCCCAGAAAAAGGCGCCAAAAGTCCTTTAAAAGCTGCTGGCTCCCGTCACTGGGGGCTGGAGCCATCCAGGCTCAGACGCCTGGTGTGCAGATGATGGAATAAATTCGTGGTCCCTCACCACCCTGGCCACGTGCGTTCCTCCTTCGGGGACCTAACCCCGGGCTGTGGGCTCAATCCCTAGTGGTGGTGGGGGTGGGGGAGATGTGCAGGAGGCAGCCAATCAATGGTTCTCTCTCATCATTGATGTTTCCATCTCTCTCTCCCTCCCCCTTCCTCTCTGAAATCAATAAAAATATATTTTAAAAATCAATGGAAAAATACCGTCGGGTGAGGATTAACAACAACAGAAAAACTTAACAATTCCATAGTCAATAGCTTTCCCCTTAACTAATTTCTTTGCCCCCGGACAGCAAGGACGGAGGCAGGTCCTATTCCAAGCAAATGCAGCCCGGGCCCTGTTCCTGTAGAAACTCCGGACCCTCCCAGGAAGGCACCTACTGTGTGACAGTCTCTGCTGCATCCTCGGCCACTAACACGCAGTGTGTCCTGGTCCTGGCCCCCAGTAGGTGCTTGGTAATGTGTCCCTTGGTCTGGCATACAGAGGGTATCCCATAAATGTTTCCCGGGCCTCGCCCAGAGTAGGCATTTGATAAAGATTTGCTGGGGGCGGGGACTGGCACATAGTAGGCGCTCAACAAATGTTTGGTGGTGGAATGAACCCAAGCAGCGCCCCTGCCTCTGTTCTCTGATGGGAGATCATGCATTGGGCTGCCCCCCGGGCTAGGAGGGGACAAGCGTCCTCAGGGACAGACTCAGGGCCCACTCACCGATATATTCGTCCACTTGGATGTAGCCATCTTTGTTCTTGTCCAGGTCCTCCAGGGTTTCCTGGGGGAGAAAGAGGCATTAGGGCTGGACCCCTGGGGTCAGGAGGTGAGGTTCTCTCAGGGGATCTCATTGGGGGTGGCTCGGGGGGGCCAGGCCTTGGAGCAGAGCAGTCTCGACAGGGCATTACTGTCCCCAAGGGCATGCGGGAAATTCGGGGGCTTTCTGGGGTGCCACGATAATGCAGGCCCCACCTGCACTTAGTGGGGGGGAGGGGCCGGGACCCAGGTGTCCTGATGCACAGGTTGGTCCACACAAGAGCGATTTTGCATCCCTAACTTTCTCATGCCCCAGCCCACACTCTCCAAGGGCAGAGGCCTCTTTCCCTTTAAAAGGCGGAGTCTAGCCCTGGCTGGTTTGGCTCAGTGGATAGAGCATCGGTCTGCAGACTGAAGGGTCCCGGGTTCGATTCTGGTCAAGGGCACATGCCCCAGGGTTGCGGGCTCGATCCCCAGTGCGGGTGTGCAGGAGGCAGCCGATCAATGATTCTCTCATCATTGATGTTTCTGTCTCTTTCTCCCTCTCCCTTCCTCTCGGAATAAGTAAAATGTATTTAATAATTTTTTAAAAAGGCAGAGCCTAGACACCAACTCAGCTGGCGTACTCTTTGACACACTTTCCAAACCTCTGCTCTCAGCTTTTTTCCCTTCACTTCTTGAGCAAACAGCTTCCGTTCCTCATTTTCGCATTCACACTCACTCCCTGACACTCCAGCCTGTCCTCTAGCAAAGGCGAGCTCCAACGTTTGAGGGTTGAGAGATGAAACACAGGATTCTCAGTTACATTCGACTTTCCCGGGAACAACAAACCATTGTTCGGTATAAGTCTGTCCCGCACAATATTTGGGATCTGCTTGGAGGACAGGAGGCTGAGTGACTTCAGTTTCAGATATATCTTTTTTTTTTTTGGTAAACGTATGTTCCAAATAGTATGTGAGATATACGTATACCAACCCCAAATACCGTGTGGGCTATGCTTACACTAAAAATGTTATTAATTTTGTTATAAATTCAGGTGTAATTGAGTGCCCTGTGTTATTTGCTAAATCTGACAACTCTAAAACACATGCTGAGGTTCTTGCTGGTTATTATAAGTGGCTTTCCTTTAGTTCCTCTTTTATAGAACAATTTGGGCCAATAGTCATGTTTTGAAATCTGCGCATGGGGAGGTTACGCTCACCGTCCACGGATGTGAGTGAGGACAGCAGGGTTTAGACTAGGGCTTGGCAAACTTTTTCCATAAAGGGCCAGATCCTATATAACAGTGGTCGGCAAACTCATTAGTCAACAGAGCCAAGTATCAACAGTACAACGATTGAAATTTCTTTTGAGAGCCAAATTTTTTCAACTTAAGCTATATAGGTAGGTACACTGTTATTAACTTAGTTAGGGTGCCCCTAAGCTGGTCTTTGCTAAAAACGTCCTCAATCTGATTGAGGTACGTTCGCTGAGGTCGACCCCTTTCAACTCTCCCATCCACACTCGTCTTGCATACTCGTTTCGTCTATCTCTTTCCGAAAACCGACTTCTGTGCATGGGCCACGAAGTTTCAATTGCACTGTACGTGCGCGCCTGCACGTGGTATTTTGTGGAAGAGCCACACTCAAGGGGCCAAAGAGCCGCATGTGGCTCGAGAGCTGCGGTTTGCTGACCACTGCTATATAATAAAAGGCTAATATGCAAATTGTCCAAACGGAGAAAAGACTGGTCACGATGACACACACTGACCACCTGGGGGCAGATGCTCAATGCAGGAGCTGCCCCCTGGTGGTCAGTGTGCTCCCACAGGGGGAGCACCGCTCAGCCAGAAGCCGGGCTCATGGCTGGCAGTGCAGCTGTGGTGGTTGGAGCTTCTCCTGCCTTCACCTCCACGGCAGCGCTAAGGATGTCCAACTGACGGCTTAGGCCTGCTCCCTGGGCCTAAGCCGTCAGTAGGACATCCTCTGAGGGCACAGGTCAGGCTGAGGGACCGCCCTCCCCCCCAGTGCCCGGATTTCGTGCACTGGGCCTCTAGTAGTAAATATTTTTGGCTTTGCCTGCTGTACAGTCTCTGTTGAACTGACTCAACTTTGCAGTTGGGCATGTGTAAGCAAATGGGCGTGGCTGTGTTACAATAAAACGTTACTTGCAAAAACACTCTGTGGGCTGGATTTGGCTACAGGTTCTAGTTCACTGGACATGGGTTCTAGTTTGCGGACCCCTGGTTGAGGCCATGGATTCAAGGGTCTAGGTTCAAATCCAGGCTGTGCCACTTCTCATCTGGGGGATCCTGGGAGAGTCACCTCTTTGTACCTAGATATCCTTATCTGCAAAACAAAGGTGACAGGCCACCACCATAGGGCTGCCACGGACAATTAAGTTGAGGTAATGGGGCTTGTCCCGCCCATATGGCTCAGTGGTCAAGCATCGGCCTATGGACCTGGAGATCATGGTTCAATTCCGGTCAGGGCACATGCCCGGGTTGTGGGCTCGATCCCAGTGTGGGGCGTGCAGGAGGCAACCGATCAATGATTCTCTCTTTCTCTCCCTCTCCCCTTCTTCTCTGGAATCAATAAAAAAATATCTAAAAATGAAAAATAAATAAATTGAGGCAATGTGCCCTAGCTGGTGTTGCTCAGTGATTAGAGGAGTGATGGCGAACCTATGACACGGGTGTCAGAGGTGACACGCGAACTCATTTTTTTGGTTGATTTTTCTTTGTTAAATGGCATTTCAATATATAAAATAAATCTCAAAAATATAAGTCTTTGTTTTACTATGGTTGCAAATATCAAAACATTTCTATATGTGACATGGCACCATAGTTAAGTTAGGGTTTTTCATAATGCTGACACGCCGAGCTCAAAAGGTTCGCCATCACTGGATTAGAGAATCGGCCTGCACACAGAAGGGTCGCAGGTTCAATTCCCGGTCAAGGGCAGGTACCTGGGTTGCAGGTTTGATCCTTGGCCCCAGACAGGGTGCTTGCGGGAGGCAACCGATCCATGTGTCTCACATCAATGTTTCTCTCTCTTTCTCTCTTTCTCTCCGCCCCTTCCCACTCTCTCTAAAAATCAATGGAAAAAATATCCTTGGGTGAAGATGAACAAAAAATGAATAAAAATAAATTGAGGTAATGCAGGTAAAGGTGTTAGAAGGGTGCCTGGCACACAGAACATGCTCAGTCAGGGTTTGTAGATAATCTTACTTGGGGAGATAAGGAGGTGTTACCCAAAGAGGGACATTGAGCTTGCAGGCTGGGGCAGATAAGAGTTAATCCAGCTCTCCTCTCCGATCCCCAGGGTCCAGCGTTCCGAATCTGTAACTATGACACGTGTGTCTAAAACCCTTAAGGAGCATTTATCCAGGCCCCTACAGGCATGAACTCACCTAGTCCCTATTACCACCCTAGATAGGGACCGTTATCAGCACCATCACTTTACAGATAAGGAAGTTCAGGGCCAGAGAGGTTAAACCACTTGCCCCAGGTCACACAGCCAGGACAGCAGGGCTGGAACTGGAAACCAGGCTCTGGCCTCAGGGCACTGGACCCTGACAGCTTTGCCACAGACCCTCAAAGAAGCATGGCCATGGAGACATGAGAAAGGGGTTACCCCTGGGAACGGGCCTGCGGGCGACAGGCTAGGGACATGGGAGAAAAGCAGATTGTTCACCTTTTTTTTGCATCTTTTGGGCGTTTAACCACCTCAATATGTTACCTATTTGAGAAATACACACAATCACACTTTTAAAGTAGTTTGTGCAGCGTTAGGCGCGGCAGGAGTGGGTACAGATCCTGTCACTAATGGTGACACTGGGGGGTCAGGGTGGGATGGGAGATGTCACCCCTCCACTGACCGGCCCTTGTGGCCTGGGTTTCCCGGGGAAGGTGCCAGGGGGACCAGGGGACCGGAACTCCCGAGGGAAGCGCTGGCAGCCGGCCCTCACTCACAGCCACCACGATGTCCCGCATGTGAGGGAACTCCTCCGGGTGCAGGAAGGCTGTCAGCTCCTCCCGGGTGGCCATCGAGTCCCCGTCCTGGTCCGCCACCCGGAAACGCCGCTCGTCGCGCGCCAGCATCTTCTTGTAGGTCTCTGCGTCCTCCACGTCGTGGAATTCCTCACCTGGGGAAGGAGGAGTGGCTGAGCTGTGCTTTCAAGGAGGTACCAGGTGCGCTCGCTGGAGAGCAAGACAAAGGGATCGAACTGGGGGGGAGGGGGGGGGAAGCGGGGGAGACGGGCAGGGCAGGCAGACCTCCACTGCATTCATCATACACAATACATACTCATTATTTGCATATATCTGCTACCTTGCAGTCAGAGCTGATTAGATGCTAAGCTCTTTAGCTACAATATGGGGCATTGAACCCTCACAAAGAGGGAGCAGAGTTCTTCAGCTTATTCTCACTTTGTGAAGGAGAAACTGACGCCCAGAGAGGACATAACTCCTCCAAGGCCTCACAGTCGGGAATGATGGGCTCTGAGTTCACACTGGCTCTCGGGCCCCCCAGTCATGCTCCGATGCAGTCGGTTATACTGCCTCAGGCTGCTGGGCAGACAGGAGGGGAAGGGCACCTTCAGAGGGAACAGAATGTGCGGAGTGCGGAGGTTTGAAGAATGTGGTGAGTTTGGGGAAGTGGCAGATCCGTTTGGCTGGGGCGGAAAATGCAGAAAAACAAAGCTAGAGGGTAGGCCAGGTGGGGCTGAGGAGCTGGGACT